CGCACCTCGCCCCTTCCCCACCCCCTCCTCAGTCTCGGTCCCCGGCGCTGCTCCGGACCACTATGACCATGAGATCCGCAGTGTTCAAGACGGCCGCGGCCCCTGCCGGCGGCAACCCAGAGCAGCGACTGGACTACGAGAGGGCTGCGGCGCTGGGCGGGCCCGAGGACGAACCCGGGGCGGCCGAAGCCCACTTCCTCCCCCGGCACCGTAAGCTCAAGGAGCCGGGGCCTCCGCTGCCCTCCTCCCAGGGCGGGAGTCCCGCGCCCTCTCCGGCCGGCTGCGGCGGCAAGGGCCGGGGCTTGTTACTCCCGGCCGGGGCGGCCCCCGGGCAGCAGGAAGAGAGCTGGGGCGGCTCGGTGCCCTTGCCCTGTCCGCCCCCGGCCACCAAACAAGCCGGCATTGGGGGGGAGCCAGCAGCAGCCGGAGCCGGCTGCAGTCCCCGACCCAAGTATCAGGCGGTGCTGCCCATTCAGACCGGCTCTCTCGTGGCGGCGGCCAAAGAGCCTACGCCCTGGGCTGGGGACAAGGGTGGGGCGGCTCCCCCAGCTGCCACAGCCTCGGACCCGGCGGGACCCCCACCACTACCTCTGCCCGGGCCGCCACCCCTCGCGCCCACCGCCACTGCCGGGACCCTGGCGGCCAGCGAGGGCAGATGGAAGAGTATGAGGAAGAGCCCTCTCGGGGGTGGCGGCGGCTCGGGAGCCTCCAGTCAGGCCGCCTGCCTCAAACAGATACTTCTGCTGCAATTGGACCTCATCGAGCAGCAGCAACAGCAGCTGCAGGCCAAGGAAAAGGAGATCGAGGAGCTGAAGTCAGAGAGAGACACGGTACGCGAGGGGTTAATCTGTCGCGCCGAGGAGCGAGTTGTGCGCATGCTCAGGGCAAGGGGGCTGTAAGAGGTTAAGGTATTCCTTGGTTAGGGGTAAGGAGGTTGACCACCAGCAAAGGAACACCTTAGGTGCCAGGTGCTTGGGAGCTAGGCTCACTGACACGTTGGGTTCGAAGGAAGGGTTAAAGGGCACCCTCCCAGAGGGGTGGGGAGGGAAGGTTGCAGATGCCAAAGGGTTAATTTAAAATGACAGCCCCAGACTTGTGGGAAAGACGTTTAGAGTGGGAAAAGACCTGATTTGTGAAGGGTTGAAAATGAAAAGGTGGGATGCATATGTGATGGCTTTATGGAACGGGTTAAATTAAGAGCTTTTGCGTTAGAAATACATTCTGGAGGAGAGGGACATAGCAGCTGCTGCTCTAACCACTGCTGTAGCATCTTTGGATAGGAGAGTGGTAGGCCTTTTAATTGGTAGAGGTGATTCACAGTGGAATTCTATTTTAGTTTTCTTAAATGACATTAAGAGAATTACTGCTTTTGATTTCAGACAGTTTTTAGTAGGAAGCAGTTCTAAAATCTGACCTACTGACCAGCTGCCTTGTATAAGAATAGTGTTTAAGGCCGGAAGATTTTAAGGCATCAGGGGAAAGTAAGCTTATTAAATGTGTTAAGCAGAGCCCCCACCCCCCAAAATCTCTATATTTTAGAATCTTAAAGTAGTAGGGAAGGCATTTATTATTTCTTTGAACTTCTGAGCAGCGTGACTATATAGGCTTAAGGGCACATTATGTGTTGAAACATATTCCTTCAGATATCAGGAAAGCTGTGGTGATGGGGGTATTACTGTGCTAGCATACCTTACAGCTGCCTAAAAATAAACATGGTTTCTACAATTGTGTTAAGGTTGCAGCAGCCACTCTCTCTCTCTCTCTTTCTTTCTTTCTTTCTCTTTCTTGGTTTGTGCCATGGGGTGAGCAAGGGAGCAGAGGGCTATTCATTTTGTTTGCTTCCAAAGGAATTGCATTAGGCAGCGGCTGTATTATTGGAGAATGCATTCTGCAAGGTGGAATGGGAGCTGGGACAGATCTCATTAAAATATCTCATGGTGTTGATTTGTGGAAGTTACTCAACATGGAGGTGGCACTGCTCAGCTACTGTACTGCAGTCTAGGGGTGTGATGGTACTGTAATTACAACACATCATATCCTTACATTGGAGGGGGGAGCAGAAGAAGAAATCAAGGAAATGTCACCCACAGACCATGGTTAAGGCTGTGAATCAAAACAGAAGGAGATGAAATGAGAGTATGGTGACAGGGAGGCTCTCTGCTGATTGTGGAGGTTTCTGCTCGGTTCCTGAGGTAATGGCCTCTTTGCAGATTTTCCTAGGCAGGAAAAGTGAGGTGAGTTAAGGATAGAGTGTCAGTCTGAACTTGGCATTCACTGCTTCTGTTGTGTATTGCAGTCTTAGTGTTGCTTAAGCTTGTTTCTCTTATTCCAGTTGTTTGGCCTCTACTGAAATCTGGGCAGCTAAGTAGATGTAACAGAGGCAACATTAATATCACTGTCTAACCCAAATAAAATTCTTATTATAGGGTATAAGTAGCACAGTTGGCACCATTTCTCAGAACATTTTAATGTGAAGTTTTTAGTGATAATAGGCTTCCATTTTCTGTTTGATTATGTAGTCTTCCCTTTAGAGTTAAAAGACTGTTTTTAGTCAATATTTAGATATATAGATATAATTTTCTTCTGTTATCTTAAGTGCAAAGCAGCAAAGCAATGTGCATATTTCACCATTGATGGGATTTATGGGTAATGGTTTCTATTATAATTCTTCCAAATTGAATGTTCATTGTTTAGGTGACAACCCCCACCC